TTCAAGGTGGTATTTAAAGAGGAAATTAGTTGACTTTAGGGTTAAATGGGTGAAAGAAGATGACAATAATTCAAATTTTTTTCATAGAGTGATAAATGGTATTAAGTTGAGGAAAATCATTTATAAGTTGGAGCTTGATGATGGATTGATTATTGATGATGAGGCTTTAATTGAAAGGGAGATTGTTAGATTCTTTGCAAAACTTTATTCTACCAATGAATGTCGTAGGCCGTCGTTATTGGGTCTTGAGTGGTGACCTATCAGTGAAAGGGTTGGTAGGTGGATGGAGAGACGTTTTGATATGGAAGAAGTTCTAAAGGCTATTTTTGAATGTAGCAAAGAAAAATTTCGGGTCCAAATAGGTTCAATACAACCATTTTTTAGGTTTGTTTTGGGATGACCTGAATGATGATTTGATGAATGTTTTCAAGGAGATCTTTCATAAAGGCATGGTGAAAATGAAGTTACACATTCCATTTTTATTTGTCTATTTCCCAAAAAATTCAAATCCATGAAGTTCAAGAATTTTAGACCTATTAGCTTATTTTCAAGTTTGTATAGGATCATTGCTAAAGTCTTTTTAGCAGGCTTAGGGACTGCTCAACTGGTATTATTTCAATATTTTAGGGGGCTTTTGTGAGAGGGAGATAGATTTTGGATGTGCCTCTTGTAGCTAATGTGGTTGTTGAAGGTTATAAAGTTAGAGACAAGAAGGGTATTATGTTGAAATTTGATTTTGATAAAACATCTGACCATGTGGATTGAACTTTTTGGATTTTGTTTTGGAGGTGAAAGGGTTTGAAGAAAACAGGAGGAAATGGGTGAGGGAATGTTTGTAGTCAATGAATTTCTCTTTCATATTAAATGGTAAGCCTAGGGATAAATTTATGGCAGAGGGTTGAGGCAAAGGAACCCTTCGTCACGTTTTTTTGTTCATTTTAGTGATTGATGAATTGAGTAGGCTATTATGGAAAAGACATCTAGTAGTAATCGGTTGATGGTTTTGTGCTTGGGAGTGAAAGGGTTTTAGTGTCTCACTTGTAATTTGCAGATAATGCTATTTTCTTTTCTTCAGGGATGAGGAGAAATTCAAAATTTCGAACATGATTGTAGAAGTTTTGTGGTTATTGTTGGTCTAAGTGATGAATATTGAAGTTGTTCATAATGTGCTCATGACATATTGAACTTGATATTGAAAAATACACTTGTACATTACATTTACATATGCACGAAAAATATCGCATTCGTGGACATGTGACATGGGTGTGGGTGTGTGTATAGTTTTGATCAAACACTATTCTTCGTGGATGATGTGTGGGCTTGAAAAAATTAGGTCAAGATTGAACTGAGTTGTACGGGTTGTATTGAAAATAAAGTCGAGATTAGCAAGAATGGCTAGATTATCTCTCGAGTGCAAGACCCAGTGATTTTGAATACGCACTCTATTGGTATTGAGTCCATAAAGTGTGTCAACATATGCGGAGTCGTTGGTGGAAATCCATAAATGTCGTGTCGGTTGAATATCCGTTGGTAGAAGTCCATAAATATCCATTCCAAGAAAGATCCGGGAATTATAATGGTTATTGGATGTGCAACATCAATAGCGGGGCTTGGAAAACTCGGATTCATACACATGGCATTGCATGTGTTATGGGAGCCAATGAAGGCTCAGGTTGTGTTGTATGTGTGAGTCTCATCTCATAACATGGCATGACATAGAGAATTTGTATTATAAATTACATATTCTTAAATGGATTGTTTATTTGATTGTTGAACTTGGATATGAGCATTTCATATGTATCTCGGATAAGGAATAGCCTCTTTAGGAGATACTCTATTGAGCGTGGCTCACCCTTTAAGGGACAACATTTTAAGTGCAAGACAAGCACCGGTGGATGGCTCTCACTCGAATCCTTATCGATGAAGAAAAGTCGATATGTGGCATTAAATTGCGTTTTGTAAAACAAAAATGTAATTTAGTTTTTGAACATGTAATATTGTGTAAAGGATTGCAAAACAAACTCGTATGAACTATGTTTGTGTAAAATTGTAAGTTATATGAGTTTGGGTTGTTGTATGAGATTGGAACAGTTGGAATTAAAAAAGGATTGAATCGGGGAAAAATTGGGCATTTCTATCAGTAGAACTTTGAGAACCTACTGTTAGAAGAATTCCAGTAGGCACTTCTACCGGTAGAACATCGAGTACCTACTGGTAGAACAATTTCAGTGGGCACTTCTACTAGTAGAACGTTGATTACTTATCGGTAGAAGTATTCCAGTGAGTTTTTCTATCCGCAGAATGTTGTTTTTCTACTAGTAGGTCCCCTCAAAATTTTAGAAAATAAGAATACTTTCGTCCAGCCTCCGGGCCTTGAGTCATTTTGCTTCAAGGAGGTAAATGGAGTAATATTAAGGGTAAATTGATGTATATTGGACCTTAGAATGGTCAAGTGATTGAATTGTACACAGGTTGTGCATGGGGGAGTGCCCAGTACAAGGAAGACTCTGCCCGAACTCTGTGTTGGTTATACTCCTGGTAAATGGGATGTTGTGATTTGGTGTCGGGTTATGCGGCATCCATAGATATTTCCCCGAGTTAATAGGTGATCAATGGGTTGACAAAGGACTCCCACTTTTAGGGGCGTCACAATTGTAAATGCTCTGATTGAGCAGAAACATAGGCTAAGAAAGATTGTTGATGATACTCATGTAGATAAAAGTCGACACCATAGACTTATGGGCAAACTCATTTATTTGTCTTACTCATTCAAATAAAGCCTATGCAGTCAGTATAATACTAAGTTTATGCACTCACCTTGTGAGTCTCATATGGAGGCGATTCAATGAATTCTAAGGTACCTTAACTAGCACCTGGTAAAGAGCTACTCTTTTCAAAACATGATCATTTGCAAGTTCCTATTTAGATGTTGACGGGGTTCAATCAGTTATAGACAGAAGATCAACCTCTGGATATTGTTCCTTTGTGGGAAGAAAATTGGTATCATGGCCTAGTAAAAAACAGATGGTTGCGGACACATCTAGTGTAGAGGCAAAATTTAGATCTAAGGCTCACGGTCTCTAAATTGTTGTGGTTGAAATCCATATTAAAGGAGCTTGGTTTCAATTATGTGGAACCAATGAGGTTGTACTGTGATAATAAGGCAGCAAGTAACATTGTTCACATCTTGGTTCAGTATGATAGAACCAAGCATATTGAGATTCACATGCACTTCATCATGGAAAAAGTGACTGTTNTGTTGTGGTTGAAATCCATATTAAAGGAGCTTGGTTTCAATTATGTGGAACCAATGAGGTTGTGCTGTGATAATAAGGCAGCAAGTAACATTGTTCACAACTTGGTTCAGTATGATAGAACCAAGCATATTGAGATTCACATGCACTTCATCATGGAAAAAGTGACTGTTGGCTCAATTTGTACTCCATTTGTCAAGATCAGGGATTCACTTGTAGATGTTGACTAGGTTTGATCGATTATAGACAAAAGATCAACTTGTGAATATTGTACCTTTGTTGGAGAAAAATTGGTATTTTGGGACAACTTAAAAGACGGTTATGGCCAAATCTAGCGTAGTGGCAAAATTTAGAGATATGACTCATGGTGTCTTTGAATTGTTGTGGTTGAAAGTCATATTAGAGGAGCTCGGTTTCAATTCTGAAGAGCCAATGAGGTTGTAATATGATAATCTATGAAACACAAATACTTCGTTAATATACTCATTGGATACTTAAAGATACGTATCGAATACACAACAAATATATCAAAAAACAAATAAAATAAATGGGTACTTCGCAAATACTTATATATGCATAGACGTATGTGTAATTTTTAGTTTTAATCTTTACCCCTTGTCTTTTATTTCACATATAATGCAATTCATCAGCAAAATCCATATGACATTGAAGACACATTGATGTTTTCCAAGTATTATGCACTATCATATGTCCAAAGAGTATAAATGAGTTGACTACATTATCATCTTAACATCAAATACTTCTAAGTAAACAATCTAGTTAATGTTGGTTCTTATTCTTTTAATTAATCACATTCACTTTGTAGATGTACTATAGTGAAACAATAGGTGGCTTTTTGAAAATAAAAAATTGTTAATGTTGCTTATTATTGTTAAAGAATCACTAAAAATTATAACTATCAAGTCATCAATAATAGTACAATTATAAGATATATGTTTTTATAGATGTATCCTAGTCGCATTCGTATCCTATGTTTTTGGGTTTTGTCATATAGTCATATCCTTATCGTATCCTACCCTTATCTTGTATCCATATCCGTTTTTCCTAGGTGATAATGAGGTAGCAAGTAGCATTGGTCACAGCTTGGTTCAACATGAAAAAACAAAGCATGTTGATTTTGAGGAGCACTTCATTAAGGAAAACTTGAATGTTGGCTCAAATTGTACTCCATTTGTGAAGATAGGGGATCAGCTTGCAAAGACTTTGACAAAGGGAGTGTCTAGTAAAGTGTTTCATACTATCCTTGGCAAGCTGGGCATGTGCGATGTCTTTGTACCAACTTGAAGTGGGTGTTAGAAATGTTTTTAGCCTATCATAGTTATTATTATGGAGGGTGTTTTTGTAAGTATGATATTAAAGCTATAAACAAACCCTATTTCTCTCCTCTTTTTCGGCAGCCTCTTCTCTCTTTTTCCCTCTCTTCCTCCTTTTTTCTTTTCTTCTCTTTTCAATAGATACCTCCTCGTTAGCAGGAAAAAAAAAAAGGTAAGTTTGCTGCCACTACATTGATTAAGTTGACTGAATCCAGATTTCTATAAACTTGTGCCACCTTATTGTTTTAGGTGACCTCGAGTCTATGTCAAATTAGTGTAACTTTATTTAACAGCTGATGTACTAAAGCAGAAGTTGCTTAAGTACTTTTTTCTGACCAGAGTTGCTTTTTAGTGCTTGATGATGCTGCCTGGAAATTTATGATTTTATTAATATACCTGCGTGGAAAAATAGGGATGTGGGAGATGCACAAGTATCCTCTTTGCTATTCCAATGGAATGACAAACTTCGAAATTTATGTCATGGATCAGGCAGTCTTTTAACAAGGTGGTTGATTGTGGATCATGCTTGTAACTTTGTCCGCTTACTTGGGTAAACATAAATCATTTGTATCCTTCCCTTTAAATACTTAATGCAACTTATAAGATGTATTTGTACACAGTGAGTTGCTCTCTGCTGTACTATTACCAACATAGAGAAATTGACTTCGTTATGCATAAGAAGTCGAGTTTGACACCTTCATTTTGTGATTCAGATTTCAATCCTACACCTTGAACTGAGGTTTTGCTTCATTTCCCTATTTCAGATTGAGTATTATTAACAGCAATTCCTTCCCAGCCCCAGTATCACTGCAGCTACAGAGTAAAGGTACAACAAAGGGCATCTGCAGTTCCATTAATAAATATCCAGAGAATGTGATGGTTTTTAAACTTTGTTATAAGTTATCAGGAGGCCCAACGATAAACTTTTTCCAAATGCCATTATGGCAGTCAACTACCCTTATGATATGGCTTTGGGGTTAGTTGAAGTAGAAAAACTCACAGGGATATATACTTCATGTTGTTCATATCTCTGACAAGCTTGTATTTACAGAAAATAAGCTCCTGTATTTGGCTCATTCTGTTTGTCATTGACTTTACAAGTGTCTTTCATGTCTGGCTCATGTTGTTTTCATTGGATTTTAGTTTCTCGGAACATTCGGTGCCTCTCATTGGTTCGCCCTTTGTTTTGACCTGCATCCCTGTAAATTATGTTTCCACTATATCATTCCCTTTAGGAAGAGGAGCCAAAGATTATTCAATTACTACGCATGAAATACAACCTTTTCATTTACCAATGTTTTTGTCCTTATGAAATGCATGATTCTATGATAGTCTATTCACAATGCAGTTGTTGGAATGGTTTTTTATCCCAGCAGAATTTCAAAAATATCAGCATAGGAGAAACGTTCCAGTCTTGGGAACAAATTGCTACATTTTTTGCTAGATTTTGGGTTGGATTGTTGGCAGATTTCCTTCCTCTATCCTACTAGGGTGGGGCTATTCCCACCCCACAAATTTTCATTCCCACCCTATTTAATGTCTCATTATCAACCTACTAAGCTCACCCCTTCTATACTTACTCCATTAGTAACTAAGTCCACCACATACTACATACACCCTATTAATAGTTAAGCTCACTCATTCTATATACACTTTTTTAATGAAAGAAGTCATCGTAAGGAAAACAAATAATGAAAGAAGACAATTAATTTAAATGTATAAATATATTTATGAAATAAGAAAAAAAAAAGAATCAAGCAAAACTGAAACAAGAGAAAAAAAAAACCAAAAACGAAACAAATAAAAAAAAACAAGCATGCCGAAACAAGAAAAAGAAAAGAATGAAACAAGAAAAAAAAATGAAACAAAGAAAAAACAAAAAGAAAAAAGCAAACCGAAACAAGAAGGAAAAAAAAATTAAGCAAAGATTAAAGGAACAAGCAAAACTAAGTGACGCAAAACTGAATATGAAAAAAAAAAACATCAAGCACAGACACAAAATCGAACAAGAAAAAAAAATAATAAGCATATAAGAAAGAACAAATAATCTGAAAGTATACATATATATACACACATATAAATTCTAAATAAAAAATTATCAAACTTGATAGAAATATCAAAACATATCAAAAATAATAAAAATACGTATAAAAAACATGAAATCAAACATAAAATTACATTAACAAGTAATACTAACTTGTATCTCACTAGAAAATTTCATATTGAAATGGTGTTTTTGTGAGTGCATGAGATGAGATAGAGAATGAAACCCTAATTATGACAAAATATAAAGTTAGTTTACTTATTAAAAGGGGTGTATGTATTATGGGGTGAACTCTAATGGGATTGGTATAGAAGAGGTGGATTTAGTAGTTTGATAATAAAAAATTAAATGAGGTAAGAATGGAGTTTTGAGGGGTGGAAATAGCCCCAATCTAATTCATCCATCTTGACCCATTTCAAACTCCTTGAATCAAGCAATCTCAAGTGAGACGTGCTGTTGGCCTATTTTTAGACAAATTTGTTTTGCCAAAAGATTTTTCATGCAAGATTTTAGGGAACTTGATTNTCAAACTCCTTGAATCAAGCAATCTCAAGTGAGACGTGCTGTTGGCCTATTTTTAGGCAAATTTGTTTTGCCAAAAGATTTTTCATGCAAGATTTTGGGGAACTTGACTTTTTCCTTTATAATTTTGCTTGAATGTAGGGGTAAGGCTTTAAGTCCCCCAAGATATTATCTCGGTTAATCAAGGTTTAGTTGAAAAAAAAAAAAAAGGTATTGCTGGCAACTAGTATTTTCCCTTTGAAACCTCAAACATAACATACCATATCACTTCCACATCACTTTGCTATTTTATGGTTCAAAAGCAAATTGTTTATGGCTTCATGCTGTCATGTTGTTTGGATTTCCCTTATAAGCCATCATCTGCAGTGTGAAAATCGTACGGACATAAAGGGCACATCTGCTCTCTTAAATCGTTCCATGATCTTTGTCTTTCCCTTGATATATTCCTGTCCTCACTTTCTTTCCAAATTGGTATGGCTAGCAGAGGGTAGATTAGTTGTTTCTGTGCNCTTTTAACAAGGTGGTTGATTGTGGATCATGCTTGTAACTTTGTCCGCTTACTTGGGTAAACATAAATCATTTGTATCCTTCCCTTTAAATACTTAATGCAACTTATAAGATGTATTTGTACACAGTGAGTTGCTCTCTGCTGTACTATTACCAACATAGAGAAATTGACTTCGTTATGCATAAGAAGTCGAGTTTGACACCTTCATTTTGTGATTCAGATTTCAATCCTACACCTTGAACTGAGGTTTTGCTTCATTTCCCTATTTCAGATTGAGTATTATTAACAGCAATTCCTTCCCAGCCCCAGTATCACTGCAGCTACAGAGTAAAGGTACAACAAAGGGCATCTGCAGTTCCATTAATAAATATCCAGAGAATGTGATGGTTTTTAAACTTTGTTATAAGTTATCAGGAGGCCCAACGATAAACTTTTTCCAAATGCCATTATGGCAGTCAACTACCCTTATGATATGGCTTTGGGGTTAGTTGAAGTAGAAAAACTCACAGGGATATATACTTCATGTTGTTCATATCTCTGACAAGCTTGTATTTACAGAAAATAAGCTCCTGTATTTGGCTCATTCTGTTTGTCATTGACTTTACAAGTGTCTTTCATGTCTGGCTCATGTTGTTTTCATTGGATTTTAGTTTCTCGGAACATTCGGTGCCTCTCATTGGTTCGCCCTTTGTTTTGACCTGCATCCCTGTAAATTATGTTTCCACTATATCATTCCCTTTAGGAAGAGGAGCCAAAGATTATTCAATTACTACGCATGAAATACAACCTTTTCATTTACCAATGTTTTTGTCCTTATGAAATGCATGATTCTATGATAGTCTATTCACAATGCAGTTGTTGGAATGGTTTTTTATCCCAGCAGAATTTCAAAAATATCAGCATAGGAGAAACGTTCCAGTCTTGGGAACAAATTGCTACATTTTTTGCTAGATTTTGGGTTGGATTGTTGGCAGATTTCCTTCCTCTATCCTACTAGGGTGGGGCTATTCCCACCCCACAAATTTTCATTCCCACTCTATTTAATTTCTCATTATCAACCTACTAAGCTCACCCCTTCTATACTTACCCCATTAGTAACTAAGTCCACCACATACTACATACACCCTATTAATAGTTAAGCTCACNTTTTGGGTTGGATTGTTGGCAGATTTCCTTCCTCTATCCTACTAGGGTGGGGCTATTCCCACCCCACAAATTTTCATTCCCACCCTATTTAATGTCTCATTATCAACCTACTAAGCTCACCCCTTCTATACTTACTCCATTAGTAACTAAGTCCACCACATACTACATACACCCTATTAATAGTTAAGCTCACTCATTCTATATACACTTTTTTAATGAAAGAAGTCATCGTAAGGAAAACAAATAATGAAAGAAGACAATTAATTTAAATGTATAAATATATTTATGAAATAAGAAAAAAAAAAGAATCAAGCAAAACTGAAACAAGAGAAAAAAAAAACCAAAAACGAAACAAATAAAAAAAAACAAGCATGCCGAAACAAGAAAAAGAAAAGAATGAAACAAGAAAAAAAATGGAAACAAAGAAAAAACAAAAANAAAATAATGAAAGAAGACAATTAATTTAAATGTATAAATATATTTATGAAACAAGAAAAAAAAAAAGAATCAAGCAAAACTGAAACAAGAGAAAAAAAAAACCAAAAACGAAACAAATAAAAAAAAACAAGCATGCCGAAACAAGAAAAAGAAAAGAATGAAACAAGAAAAAAAATGGAAACAAAGAAAAAACAAAAAGAAAAAAGCAAACCGAAACAAGAAGGAAAAAAAAATTAAGCAAAGATTAAAGGAACAAGCAAAACTAAGTGACGCAAAACTGAATATGAAAAAAAAAAAANAAGAAAAAGAAAAGAATGAAACAAGAAAAAAAATGAAACAAAGAAAAAACAAACCGAAACAAGAAGGAAAAAAAAATTAAGCAAAGATTAAAGGAACAAGCAAAACNATGAAACAAAGAAAAAACAAAAAGAAAAAAGCAAACCGAAACAAGAAGGAAAAAAAAATTAAGCAAAGATTAAAGGAACAAGCAAAACTAAGTGACGCAAAACTGAATATGAAAAAAAAAAAAAACATCAAGCACAGACACAAAATCGAACAAGAAAAAAAAATAATAAGCATATAAGAAAGAACAAATAATCTGAAAGTATACATATATATACACACATATAAATTCTAAATNAGAGTTCTGTCTTTGAAGGTATTAACCCTTACTTGTTTTTATGTCTACTTTTTGACATTGCCTTATTGTCGTTGTCTCAGTGTCATTGCCGTTGTTGTCTTTATCATCTGTGTACTTGTTCGTAGGAAGAAGCCAAGTCCTGCGGAATCGCAACTAGATGACACTGATCCTTCGATCTGGTGAATGCATTCAAGCACAATGAGGAAGATGTTTGTAGCTGTTGCATATTATATCACGAGTGGCCACATAGTTTTAACCTCTAAAATCTTCTTCTTGTTTCCCACATTAGGAATGAGAAAAACCTGCTCCTTTTGGGAATTCGCTGTGCCATTAGACCACAAACTGTGATTCTGTCATCAGTTCTATGAAGTGATAGTATGCACATTGGTCTGCTTGCTGCTGTTGCTGCAAGCCTGCAACTAATAGCTGTTTCAGAAGGACATGCATAGTTACGATGTCTAGACAAATAATCACCAATGTTGTATAGACAAAGCATAGCAAAAAATGCATAGTTATGATGCCTCCCTCCATTTTCCCATGCTCCTCATTAACCAAACCTGTGCATATCTTTCTTTTATTCTCTAGTAAAAACTAGCTATTGTATCTTACTTTTATTATTGTTCGTAGGTTACTTTTTTTTCCATGCTATGAGAAAGTCATAACATAACCTATTGTTCCCATGTCCAAAAAATGGATGGCTTGTATTGTGCAGATACATGGATACAATTACTGGGATTGGCAACTTAGATCCTGTTCGTGGCCAAATTCTCACTGGCAATCCATCAAGGTAAATGAGGCTATTGTGCATAGAGTCATAGACAACTAGTATATGAAAACGTAGTTCTGTCCTTGTTTAAATTTGGTACTGATGTATTCTCTCTGCCAAATGTGCCCTGCTTTGAGCTTTAAGTAGGTAATGTTTCCGTGTTTCTCGGTCAATTACATAAGTGTATTTTATTTTCCGGATGATTGTTATTTTATTTTTATATTTTTAATGTTATCAACCCAGAAATCTAATTTCCTTGTTACCCACATTTTTGTTTGATGTTTAAACAAGTTCCTTAGGTCCATANTGCGTCCATTTAAGAGCCTGTAGTCATGAGTATATACGTATCAGTTAAAGGATCAAGGAAGCTGATGGTAAGGTAATGGTGGCCACCCAACATGTACATGGAAGTGACATGTGAATTTGTTAAAATAGCTATGAAGAATTACTGAACAAAGTGCTAACTCATGTTTTAGCAATGATTATGAGTTTTGCTGAAAATAGGTTTAGTGTTGACTTGGTAGTAACATGCTTGCCATCTGGTTGCTTTTGAGCGTTGGCATCTTAATACTGAGTTCTGTCTTTGAAGGTATTAACCCTTATTTGTTTTTATGTCTACTTTTTGACATTGCCTTATTGTCGTTGTCGTTGTCGTTGTCTCAGTGTCATTGCCGTTGTTGTCTTTATCATCTGTGTACTTGTTCGTAGGAAGAAGCCAAGTCCTGCCGAATCGCAACTAGATGACACTGATCCTTCGATCTGGTGAATGCATTCAAGCACAATGAGGAAGATGTTTCTAGCTGTTGCATATTATATCACGCATGGCCACATAGTTTTAACCTCTAAAATCTTCTTCTTGTTTCCCACATTAGGAATGAGAAAAACCAGCTCCTTTTGGGAATTCGCTGTGCCATTAGACCACAAACTGTGATGCTGTCATCAGTTCTATGAAGTGATAGTATGCACATTGGTCTGCTTGCTGCTGTTGCTGCAAGCCTGCAACTAATAGCTGTTTCACAAGGACATGCATAGTTACGATGTCTAGACAAATAATCACCAATGTTGTATAGACAAAGCATAGCAAAAAATGCATAGTTATGATGCCTCCCTCCATTTTCCCATGCTCCTCATTAACCAAACCTGTGCATATCTTTCTTTTATTCTCTAGTAAAAACTAGCTATTGTATCTTACTTTTATTATTGTTCGTAGGTTACTTTTTTTTCCATGCTATGAGAAAGTCATAACATAACCTATTGTTCCCATGTCCAAAAAATGGATGGCTTGTATTGTGCAGATACATGGATACAATTACTGGGATTGGCAACATAGATCCTGTTCGTGGCCAAATTCTCACTGGCAATCCATCAAGGTAAATGAGGCTATTGTGCATAGAGTCATAGACAACTAGTATATGAAAACGTAGTTCTGTCCTTGTTTAAATTTGGTACTGATGTATTCTCTCTGCCAAATGTGCCCTGCTTTGAGCTTTAAGTAGGTAATGTTTCCGTGTTTCTCGGTCAATTACATAAGTGTATTTTATTTTCCGGATGATTGTTATTTTATTTTTATATTTTTAATGTTATCAACCCAGAAATCTAATTTCCTTGTTACCCACATTTTTGTTTGATGTTTAAACAAGTTCCTTAGGTCCATGTGTCTCAACTGAAGCCTTATGCTGGTTGGTTTGCTTGGATTGCGCCAAGCACCACTTTCAAATACATCGGAACCAGAGGCCTTTAATTGTTAAAGTGAGAGAGTGAAAGGGTAATGTTATTGGTACTTGTCAGTTATTGAAGAGAAGATTGTAAATAGAAGTTGTTTTAGTTTTTTTTCTCTTTCTATGGGTTGATGACCGGAAAGATCTCTTTTGTTCAGCATTTTCTAAGTTTTAATGGACTGTGTTTGTGTGTGTAGTCCAACCTGATTACTGCAATTTCTCGAGGGCCATGGGAAAGTGAATTTTTTAAGTGCACTGATATTTTGAACTGGCACTTCGATATAAAAAATAGCAGAGTTGAAAGGTCATTCATAGACTATAGTAGAGTTGTAAAAAGGTGATCTGTAAGGTTATGAGGATGCTTGAAGTTGATGATTTGGTAGAAAAATGAGAAGTATGTGGATGTAATGTACCATATAATTGTACAGATTTTAGTATTTAACTGCAAAATTAAATATAATTTTTTTTTATATAAAAAAAAAAAAAAAAAAACCAATTCCTAGCATTTGTAACAAATGCCAGTATTTACAAGTGCTGATATTTCTCCTTTGACTGCTTGAGTCGGGTAAAAATTACTAGTGTTCGTATTTTGTCGGGAAAATTGACCGACTGATATTTTTCGGCATTTATAGAAATGACGAGAGCTATCCTAGCGCCGGTATAAGAGACATTTTTTTCTAAACGCCGATCAGCTGCCGAAAATTGGATTTCCCGGTGATTTCCCAAGGCTTTCTTGTAGTGTAAAATTGTCTTTGGTTTGTGCAACTCTCTCTTTGATCTAACGCTGAATTGGATGGGAACGAGACACTAGGCTTTTCCATGAAGCATTTGAATTCCCCCTTTTTGCTGGGGTAGTTGAAAGTCTTCTTCTTGGGAATTTTTATTTTCTTAACAGCATAGAATTAGCATTTAACCGTGTAAATAGCGACGACCAGTGTTAAATTTTAGTTTTGATCTCCCGTTCTTGCTTGGTCAATTCTTGGAAGACCCTTATTAATGCAACGATGGAACAATCAAAGTGCACCTGTCACAACTACAAGCTGCCAATGAGTCTTTCTTTGGATTGCCATACTCAGAGTCTAGATTGGTTCAAAGTAGAAGGTGGTCCAAAACGAGTAAACTCGTTTTTGAACACCACCTTTTCCCTTTTTATAAAAAGGGTGTTAGAAATAAGCCAGTGACTGGGCCATTAAGTGAAGAGCCCCAATGTGCATATTGAGCTATCAACATCATGATAACAACATTATGGAAACCAATGTGCGACTCCGGAATTCATGCAATGACTAGGGAGTTTTTAACGTAAGCCTTACCATGTATACCTGCATGTAATTATACAATGCAAATGTGAGAGTGAATCAGGTGTCTTAAGTTTTAAGTCGCAAAGTTGAGCTCTGGCTAGACAGCTAATTGCTTCAACCAACACATGTGAACGTATGATTTGTGTGAAGGGGTGGGCAAAATCACAAACTCTTAAATGGATTCCCAACCTTATCACGATTTTATTTTGAATGAACTCAGAAGAAAATGTTGATCCAAACACAGGAAGCATTGCCAATGTCCAACAAATGGAGTAACCTACAAGATGGGATGAAGACATGTATCAAACCCGAGTAATTTATTTAAGTATTTACCCTTGAATTTNTGTGTGTGTAGTCCAACCTGATTACTGCAATTTCTCGAGGGCCATGGGAAAGTGAATTTTTTAAGTGCAATGATATTTTGAACTGACACTTCGATATAAAAAATAGCAGAGTTGAAAAGTCATTCATAGACTATAGTAGAGTTGTAAAAAGGTGATTTGTAAGGTTATGAGGATGCTTGAAGTTGATGATTTGGTAGAGAAATGAGAAGTATGTGGATGTAATGTACCATATAATTGTACAGATTTTAGTATTTAANTACCCGAGTAATTTATTTAAGTATTTATCCTTGAATTCATCATCTTTTAGAACACTCCAATATCTAACATACATTTAGCTTATTTTTTAGTGTTACCTTAGCAAAGAACCATTCATGTAAGTGGTTTTAATCATAANAACCCGAGTAATTTATTTAAGTATTTACCCTTGAATTTATCATCTTTTAGAACACTGCAATATCTAACATACATTTAGGTTATTTTTTAGTGTTACCTTAGCAAAGAACCATTCATGTAAGTGGTTTTAATCATAAATGGGTCTGACAAGTACTTTGTGCTGCTAGACCACAAAGCTTAAAATACTTTCTTGTCCAATCTCTACGATGTTCAGATCATGGTTCAAGTTTGTGGGATCGGCCATAGACTCAAACTGAGACACATTGATTGCAACATTGTAGAATACTATCAAGTGATACACATGAAATATTAGATGTAGGAAGAAGTTGAACACAAAAAGAAATTTAGGTCATTCTATAGTATCACGGAACCGTATAGACCAATTCGATGATGATGAATTTGGCCAATTCTGGGTGGTCTCGGACAACTGAATCAACATAAGACTTGGGTTTTTATACAGAGTTTGCAAGTTTGTCCCAATATCTGAGCAGTTTTTACATTCATGCCTGTTTCATGTNCATTCTAAAAAAAATTGTCTTTGGTCTGTGCAACTCTCTCTTTGATCTAACGCTGAATTGGATGGGAACGAGACACTAGGCTTTTCCATGAAGCATTTGAATTCCCCCTTTTTGCTGGGGTAGTTGAAAGTCTTCTTCTTGGGAATTTTTATTTTCTTAACAGCATAGAATTAGCATTTAACCGTGTAAATAGCGACGACCAGTGTTAAATTTTAGTTTTGATCTCCCGTTCTTGCTTGGTCAATTCTTGGAAGACCCTTATTAATGCAACGATGGAACAATCAAAGTGCACCTGTCACAACTACAAGCTGCCAATGAGTCTTTCTTTGGATTGCCATACTCAGAGTCTAGATTGGTTCAAAGTAGAAGGTGGTCCAAAACGAGTAAACTCGTTTTTGAACACCACCTTTTCCCTTTTTATAAAAAGGGTGTTAGAAATAAGCCAGTGACTGGGCCATTAAGTGAAGAGCCCCAATGTGCATATTGAGCTATCAACATCATGATAACAACATTATGGAAACCAATGTGCGACTCCGGAATTCATGCAATGACTAGGGAGTTTTTAACGTAAGCCTTACCATGTATACCTGCATGTAATTATACAATGCAAATGTGAGAGTGAATCAGGTGTTTTAAGTTTTAAGTCGCAAAGTTGAGCTCTGGCTAGACAGCTAATTGCTTCAACCAACACATGTGAACGTATGATTTGTGTGAAGGGGTGGGCAAAATCACAAACTCTTAAATGGATTCCCAACCTTATCACGATTTTATTTTGAATGAACTCAGAAGAAAATGTTGATCCAAACACAGGAAGCATTGCCAATGTCCAACAAATGGAGTAACCTACAAGATGGGATGAAGACATGTATCAAACCCGAGTAATTTATTTAAGTATTTATCCTTGAATTCATCATCTTTTAGAACACTCCAATATCTAACATACATTTAGCTTATTTTTTAGTGTTACCTTAGCAAAGAACCATTCATGTAAGTGGTTTTAATCATAAATGGGTCTGACAAGTACTTTGTGCTGCTAGACCACAAAGCTTAAAATACTTTCTTGTCCAATCTCTACGATGTTCAGATCATGGTTCAAGTTTGTGGGATCGGCCATAGACTCAAACTGAGACACATTGATTGCAACATTGTAGAATACTATCAAGTGATACACATGAAATATTAGATGTAGGAAGAAGTTGAACACAAAAAGAAATTTAGGTCATTCTATAGTATCACGGAACCGTATAGACCAATTCGATGATGATGAATTTGGCCAATTCTGGGTGGTCTCGGACAACTGAATCAACATAAGACTTGGGTTTTTATACAGAGTTTGCAAGTTTGTCCCAATATCTGAGCAGTTTTTACATTCATGCCTGTTTCATGTGCAAAGATAACCAGAGTCATTGAGCGTATTATCATAATAGACAACTTTACAGTCATTGAGTAACAGAAATCATACAGATTTGACCAATCATGATGAAGCACAAGCATGACAGAGAAAATCTCAAGGAACTTTACAACTGGTCTCTGTTGTTGGGCGCTGGTATCCAGGAAATCTAAAAGGACATAAGATTGAGTAACTAAGAGATTAGGCAATCTAGAAGGCAAATTGTATCTGCATGATCTCAATGCAGACATGAAAAGTACAGGAAAGCAATGGTTATCTAAAAATAGCATCTAAAGGCTTTAACTCATAACTCGACATAGGAAGCAATAATTGCATTTAATGCCTAATTAAAAGACGAGACAAAGCATAAATGCTTTTTAAGCATCAAGATTCTTTATATTTCCATCACGTGTTTGGAAATTATACATCTTGGAACATGAAGCAATTTGACTTTTCTTAGTGGGGTAAAAGGAGATCTGCACATCAAGTTCTTATTTTCCTTATAATAGATTTTACCTTAGCCATTGGGGTCACTTTCGAGATTCAAATCACTCGAGAAAACTGTCCTCCCTTCAGGCTTTTAAATTGTTACTGACCTTTCCTTCTATTGTCTGTCCCGTAGACACCTGTGATGTTTCAAGTTTCTATCATTAATTGACAATGCACTTACAGTCTCATTGGAGTACACAAGTAATTCATTGAAATTCCCAAGCATTTGATAAATGAGATAATAATATCATGAACATTGGTCAGTAACATCATTGCCAGATCCTCAGGGAGGCTTCCTCGTATTTTGATCTCATGAATACTGGAAAAAAAAAATTGATATGAGGAGAGTTTACGTAGTTCGTGCAACCAGCTGCCATTTAGAAAGTAGGTCGTATCAAGATTCACCCATTACCAGCAAAAATAACCTTTAAACTTGCCAAGCAAAATAAACTGCATCAAAGTATGCAATTACCATAAAGTAATTACTCAGAAGATATCAGGAGAACCACCTCAGAAGTTCGCTTGTTGCTAGGGTGACAAAATAGGTTCATGCAACTTCAACCGCCAAATCATACTATAAGACACAACCAAAAAAATTAGCATGATTACTATCACATAATAAAGATATAATCTACCATAAACTTCGAAATTTAAAATTCAACGAGGCAAAGAACATGCACTTACTCAAAAAGAGCTGCCAAAATCTTCATAATTGGACACATTCAAGCATTTAGTTGTACCACCTGTGTCTCACTATTTAGTTCTCTACACTCTAACCCAGGAAACTGTCCAATATCATGCCCTTTAAGGGGTAGAAATTCATTGTGCAAACCAACAGCAAACTCATCTGGACATGCTCCACCACTTTGGAAGTAATCTGCCATCTGCATGATGAAACCAACTTAAATTATAATTTATTTATTCACTGATAAGAGCATCTTTGCATGAATTATTAACTCAACAAAGTTTTCAGTTTCAAACACCAAATTGCAACCATTTGATGTTTATGACAAAATATACGACTTACACAGGCTACAGAGGTGGAAATACACTAATGATATGGAAATTATGATTTTAGACTTTTCTTTTATTTCACAAACTGAAATACACAGATAAGCCTGTAAGCAGAAGAGAACAGAAAGTGGGGACCAGAGGGACTTGCATGATTAGCAAGAGCCATTCCGCTTAAGGCTGCAGCCTCTAAACTAGAACCCAATAGCCAATCACCACATATGCCAGCCCTTCCATGAGGATCAAAGATGCAGGGGATATTAGGAGTATTGGTGGGAAGAGCTGCGCCCCTGCATATTTAAGATAGGTGAAATTGCTTCCAATCATTGAATGAGAACAAAACCAAATAGTAATACTCACCATATAAAAAGAGAAAGACCATTTGAAGAAGAACATTTCGCGTGTGTGTACCAGGGTTAGAGAGACTAGATTGAAATCCCATTGATCAATGTAAAGCCATTTGACAATAAGTAGAGAGATTGGTTAACCATATACAATAAACCTAGATGATCCCAAATTATTCAATGTAGGATACAAGCTCTCTTTACACCCTCCCTCATGTGGGACTCAGCTCCGCATGCAATAATAACAAACAAATAGACAAACACGTAAACTGAATAGTTCAAATGGCTAATAGACTTGAATCTCTGATCACTTAAGACCAAACTTTGATATTATGTAATAGACATCCAACTCAAAACCAATTGGCATCAATTGGAGAGGCCCCTTACCCATGTAAATCAACTTTGAATGGAACTAATCATTTGATGCGGGATGCAAACTCTTTTTATAAGAGAGATAATTTAAGGAAAAGGAATCAAAGTGGTTGTTCTTTAATGTAAGCATAAATCTTCAGGTAAGTTCTATGGCATTATTCCAAGATTGCTCGAGAATGATAAAAATTTGACGTGGGAGTTTAATTTTTTGTTAAAGGCAATTCTCAATGTATGCATTAATACTTTTTTTACTTGCCTAATTACTAAAAAGGAGAATTCTCTGGAAACAAGTGATTGTATACCAACTAGTCTAACTTAATGGCATACAAGTTTGGCTGAAGTGTTGCCTAGGATACTAAAGTTATGGTTAACATTTATTTGTCCCAAAAGTGCTTTTGTGAAGGGACATCAAATTTTGAATGTGGGTATTAGTTGCTAATGGGGCAGTCGAGAAATGTAGATCAAATAAGAAAGGATTCATTATTAAGGTCAATTTTAAAAAGCTTATGATCATTTATGATGGGAATCTTTGGATCTTATGTCAAAGAACAACGGTTGTAGGAATAAATGGCAAGGATGGATATCATGATGTTTTATCTTCGAGTAGTCTCTCAGTTATTATTAATGAGAAATCGGAGAAGACCTTTATTGCTTCAACGGCACTTAGAAAAGGTGATCTTTATCTCTTTTTATGTTTATATTAGTGGCTGCTGACTTGCCGGTTTAGTGTTTTAAGTACATTGGTAGAAAGAGCCAAGAATTTGACATAATTAAAGGTTTTGCGAAAGGCAGGGACAATGTTCAAGTGTCCAATTTATAGTTTGCAGATGACAATATATTCTTTTTATCAATGGATGCACAGGAAGCCACTCATTTATACTCCATTTTGCAAGTTTTTGAATTGATATCGAGAGTGAAGGTCAATTGTAGGTATTAATACTTCAATAAAAATATTCAAAGATTGGTTGTATGTTGAGTTGTCTCTAGGCAAGCGGCCTTCAAAGTATCTAGCTCTTCTATTACTGAGAATCCTAGATCAAAAAATTTTTGGGATGACGTGTGTAGCAAAATTGGGAAAGCTATTGGATGAAAGCCTTTGATGTCTAAAGGAGAAAGGTTAACTAGACAGAGAAGTCAATGTTAATAGCAGGTCTAATTCCGCGATAAAGAGCTTTGTTTCCAAACAAATTTGTCCTAGTACAATCAATATTAGCCGAAATTTCTAAGAGTTTAGCGGAAAAGCTATTTGATGTCTAAAAGAGTTTCTATGGGAAGTGAGGAAAGGGAAAAATGAACATTCGGTGAAGAGTAAAGCTATCTAGACCTAAAAATCTAATCTAATTTGTCAACCTAATAATGTGGTTCCATTGTAACAGTTGGATCGACACTAAGTTCCAATATTTGATGGGGCACACAATCAATCCAAGGGTTACGGTGAATTTGGTCCCAACAGCATTGCTCTTCGGTGAAATAGGAAATTGTTTCTTAATCGAGAACCAAACAAAAGTTTTGCTTTAAGAAATAGTATTGCCATGAACATCGCTTGGACGGTGAAGAATGCAATTCCTTGTCACATGTTATCAAAAATAAGTATGAGATTCATGACAATCAATGGGATTCGCAGGTGGTAGATTGGGCTTCTACCCAAATCACATTGTAGGTAGCTCTCAAGGATTATNTGGTGAAGAATGCAATTCCTTGTCACATGTTATCAAAAATAAGTATGAGATTCATGACAATCAATGGGATTCTCAGGTGGTAGATTGGGCTTCTACCCAAATCACATTGTAGGTAGCTCTCAAGGATTATTCGTCATTCCTTAGTATACTAAATTCATTATTAGAAATGGAGAAGATTTGTGTTTGGGAAGCACAATGGATGGGTGATTGTCATTTTTGTATTTATTTTCTCGGTTGTACCATTAATCCTAATCGATTAGTGTCTCAATCATGGTGTTTTCCTTTTCTTATCCTATCAAGTAAAATCTAATTTCTTCATAAATCTAAATGATGCGAGGTTAATGAGCTTTCATCTCTTTCATCTTTGTTGGATGGATTTATCCTATGGTAGTAAGATCCTTGATAGAAGGTGTTAGTCCATTTTCTCTTCAGGGAAGTTTACTTGTAAACCTCTTTGATTCATTGATTGATGATTCTAGTATCCCCCAATTGGTCCTTTTAAGATGATTTAGAAGGCAAAAGTATGGACTGTTTAAGCAAAACTTTAAGTATTTGCATGGCCTGTTTCTTATAGGAAAGTCGTTAGCAATGATCAAAATTTTGTTTCGGTACATTGTTTCGGTCACCTAAGAAACGAAAACATTTCGACAGGTTTTAAAAATATTTTGACCAGTTTCAAAAAATAGAATAAAAATAAATAAAAAATTTAAAACTTATTTTTTTAAAACATTGGGCAAAATATCTTGAAATATTTCGAAATAATTATGTAAATGCATTGAAATATAATAAAAAATTTTGAAACATTATAAAACACTTTGAAATATTAGAATTTCGATTTCATCACTGATTCGTTTCGGTCTCGTTAAAAACAAAAATATTTTGGACGTTTCGACCGTTTTGAGACAATTTTGATCCTTAATTATTAGTAATGATTGCTTAAGATGAGGCGTCATTATTCCCTTTATCTGTAATAGTGTATTTTATGTAAGAGAAGTGAGGAGACTCCTGACCATTCACTCATACATTGTTCGGATGCTTTGGCATATTTTGGAGAAGACTATTTTTTATGTCCTGGGTGTCACCATTCTCTTGTGATATGGTGTGATTTTGTGATCTAGTTCAAAGGTATTGGAAAGACTAAGAAAGCTCACTTTCTTTGGAGGTGTGTAGTGTTGCCAATTTTTTGGGTTACCTGGTTAGAAATTGTTGAAAAATAAATACTTAAGTTACACCATTTCAAACAGCTTAAACTTTTGAAGTTGATGGTTGCTTAACACAGCATCAAAGCAAGAGGTCCTGTGTTCGAATCTCACCGTAACTCTAATTATTAAAAAAATTGCATTTGCTAAGACCAAAAATCTAGTCTGCACATGAGGAGACGTGATGAAGTAAAAATATTAAGCTACACCCTCTCCAACAACTTAAGTTTTTAGCTTAAGCTTTTGGTTTACATAGTTGTTTAACAGATATAACAACTTAAGTCTTTTTAGATTTCACTATGTCCTGATTTTGTGGGAGTTCCCTTCTTCTTAAGGTGGATTAGAAATTAGTCCGTGACTTGTAATTTTATGTTTTGTTCCTTTCCTTCCTATTCATTGGTGGAGTACTCATCCTCCATCTTCTTCCTTTTCGCATTAGTAGTAAAATTATCTATTATTCAAAAATAAAAAGGAAAAAGTTTCAAATTAAAGTGGACTTTCTCTTCTAGGAAGTGCTACCTTATTCCATAGCATAAATCAACATGCCGGCTTCATTCGTAAATAGAAAGATAAGCACATGACAACAAAAATGGCTGGTAAAACTTATATGTCTCACATTGAACCATTACATCATTAATATACTTTAGAATCATTAGAATTACACTCATTCACCACTCATCCAATAGCATTGCAACACTTCTTTCCAATTCCATTTTACAATAACAAAACCTTAACACTAACTAGTCTCTCTCCCAAATCCAGATGATATTCTTCATCTTTCTGCAGATTATTCTTAAATAGTTTGTATGTTGTTTCAGTTTGTGACCAAGATATTTTGTTCAGCAAAAAAATAGGAAAGCCAAGAATAAATTTGTTTTCCAAGTCAGTTGGATATATTAATAACCATACAGTAGAAAATAAGACTGGCTTAATTCTGGTCTTCGTAATGTCACACAGATGCATATACACAAACATAAATATAATACAAGGATCGAGTGTCCACTCTATACAACACCAAATACAAGTTTTCTCTCAAACCTTATGAACTACATGTAATACGAACATCTGACCCACCTAAACCTCTTATTGAGGTTGCCAAACAACCAGTGTTGATCATTTCTACACGTGATAAACCATTCTATAAGACCAAAGATTGCCTAATTTCACCAAAGCACCATTAATGCATACACACGGATGCACGATGCATGTTGTGTCTATGTGCGCCCGCGCGCAAGAGAGAGAGAGAGGAAAATTTTCTCTCAAACTTTGACAGCACCACTGAAAGTTTTAGTAGAAAATGAAACCAGTCAACATATCTAGCCATGGGCATGCTTAATTGTCATTTGCGAAAATTACTTTTTCCCCTTGTGGTTTAAGACTGACTCTTTCCCACATAATTTTGGACAAAAGTGCTAATTCCTATTGAATTGATGGTCAAAGGTCAAAGTTCAAAATAACATGTCAAAAGTCAAAATAAACCCATTTTTTCACTCTACTCACAATGCATTATCCCTAGCCACAAATGATATTTGCTAATATTTACAAAAGAGCAATGCTATAGAGACTTTATTTAGGGACCTAATGATGTGGCTTCAATGATAATACCATTGGATTAGTTGTGAGTTCTAATGTTAGATGGAGCCCACAACCAATCCAATGATTGTTCATCATTAAGTCCCCAAATAAGGTCCAAATAGCATTTCCCTTTACAAAATATAATGAACATGCTAAAGAATGTTGATCCATACCATAATTGAACTCTGGTATAAAAGGGTCTTTGAAGCGAGCCTTTTGACAGACCTAGTGCCTTCTCAACCCCATCAAGCATTGTTTTCTTCACCTTCTCTGCTGTAACAGTTGGAATATTTTCCTGATAAAATACAATGAGGCATTTATAACTATAACGTACTGTTAAATTTTAAATATAAAACGAAATAGATCAATAACGAAGACCAAGCAATTAACGTGGATCAGTCCTAAGACCTACGTCCACAAACAAAAACAACAAAGGGTTACATCTTTATTATTCTTGATGATAAATACACATGAGATACACCCTTACATGTAGGGTGACAAACAGAATCATATCCCTTAATCACAGGGATTGACATAAATCAGAATATCAAATAATGCCACTAAATATGGCCAATTATCGACTCGTCAATCACATAATATACCATAAATCATGGGATATATTTCTATCTTCAATACTATCAATGAGTATTTTTGATATGGTATTTTTTCTTTTTTTTGTTAAGTATATGCATTGCTTATCTATCCAATAGATTTGTTGTTTCTTTTATCTCACCAATTAGCCCTAAGCTAGATTATATCCTCACTATAGCAGAAATGTTAAAAGATTTCTGAAAGCAGTTGGAAAAATTAGGCGATAAGAAAACAAAGAAAGAAGAGAGTAGAAGGGAATATATATTATTAAGGATGAATATTACGAATGAAAAAATGGAAAACAATACCCACAAAACATTTCTGGCTAGTGAACACTACCTTCTGTCATGCTGGTTGATAAACATAACAGTTACAGTTTGGTCTAAACTTACATGCATAAAAAGAATAATTTCAAATAAAGCAACTCTGGTCCAAACCACAGGGAGATAAAAAAAATTATCCCAACGGACTATACCGATCCTGCCAGCAACATCAGTGCACATAAAAAGTGCAGCCCACTCAACAATGCCATCAACCAAAAATTTAATCTAGTATATTAATCCAGTTTCTCCAAGGATGTCAACTGTTTGAGTAGAGGTGGTAAGTACAAAATTAGGCAACAGTGATATAACTGACCTGGGGAACTCTGTTCTGCTTTCCAAAAGCTGTGGTGCTGAAAAAAGTCCAACAATGAGGACCAGTGCCCTGGTAATACAATAGTTTCTTTGTGTTGTTTGCCATCCACGAGACAGAATCAACCCCTTTCACAAAAGCTCCTTCAAATTCAACTGCCTTGGATGGCACAGGAAGAGGATCCTCAAATGCCGCAAGAAGAGCCCATATAGAACTCAGTTCCAACCTCTGCAAAGATCAGGGACGAAAAGGAGGAGGAACTATGAAGCATGAAACAACTTGAAACAATAGTTACTGGTGGCCAGTAGTGAAGGAAATAACAGCATACTCTAGAATACATCAGATATAAGAGTTCGTGCATACCTTCATTTGTCTTGCAATAAGGGGTAAGCCTGATGAAGCAAGCAATCGATTCGCGCATTTTCCTGGTTGAGACAACATAATAATTAAGTAGGAAAATTAATTAAAATCAACGAATCTTTCTCAAAGGTAAAACACATTTATTGCCCATATAAATCATGTAAAAGAAACTAAATGGATGAAAAGATGCAGAGTAGTGCGTGTTAGTGAGTAGTTTGAGCATTAGAAAAAGGGGTAATAGGCAAGGAACTAAATTTCGTTTCGAAAGGTCCAAAACATTCCTGTTTCCATAGAAACCGAAATGAATCATTGATTGAATATCAAAATTCCTATATTTCGAGATGTTTTGAGGTGTTTCGGCATTTTTCGGTATGTTTCGACCGATGTTTTGGAAATAAATTATCAAATTATTCTGTATTTTCATCTTGTTTTTGAAATACTACCAAAACGTTTTTGTTTCCAAACTCACCGAAACTATGCACTGAAATAAAATTTTGATCATTGGTAATAGGATCATTATAGAGCAGACCCTACATAAATGTACAAATATATATACAGCTTTGTGAAGGATTAGGATCGATTTTACCCTATGCTTCATATTCCTCCTTCTCACTCTTTAACAACCTATCTTGATTAGAACAATAAAAAAAATCCTCAATTGTTCTATAATTATTTTTTATTTCATATTTGTTTATTGATATAAATATATTTAGACAGCTTTGTGAAGGATTAGAATTGGTTTTACCCAATGTTTTTTATTCGTCTTCTCTTTTAACACCTTAGCTTTATCAGAACAATACAATAAAAATTTCACAATTGTTTGATAATTTTTTGTATTTCATATTGGTTTGTTGATGAGCCTTGATTGCAGAAGTACAGAACCAATGGAAGTTGAAGAAGGCAAGCAGTGCAAGAGATGATGACCATGTTAGAGTAGTTAGCATATTTAGTCTTAAGAGTAGCTTAATCTTTTGTTTTCTTTTATGTTGCCCTAATATATAAGGGCCTCTTGTATGCATTTTTCTATTAAGCTGTTACAGACTAATTTAGTGAAAATAATATTCTCTTCTTCTTTCTTTTACTTCTCTCTTCTATTTTGATTATGTAATCATTGTTTACATGATATCAAAGCACATTACGATCATGTACAACATTAGAAACGTAGCAATATTCGCTAAAAGAAGGATCTGGGTTAACAAGGGATGACATACAAGGGTTGATATCATCAAACAAAGATGATGACGTCATGGACCAACGACTCTCATCAACTATTTAGATCAACTACCAGTAGGCTTTAACATGGTATGATTGGTTTTTGAGTTTGAAATTGTTTGATAGAATTTTTGATTTTTCAAATATTATTCGAAAAAATGGGATCAAAATTTTTCGATCTGGTTGTTTCATCATCTTTCTTTGAATTTGTCACTGCAAACCACACCTAAAGGGTGCGGGGTGCGACTAGGTGAGTTGTATACATAGTTGAATGATTCTTTAACAATTAGGTTGATTTCTGAAGGCTTTTGGCTAGTTTGGTTGGCTTGGCTACTACATATCGTACACTGGACTGTTGTTTTGGCTGATTTCTGCATATTTTTTTGGTAGTGGCTTGACTGATTTTTGCTGCTTCTTGGCTCTATGAGGGATTGTTCTGCATTGTGGTCTTCTCCTTGATCGCATAGTGGTATCAAACAAAGCTCTGCGTCTCTCTTCATTCACGTCTGGTTGCTGAATATGTTTGTTGTTAGGCTGGTCTTCCTACTGGGGCTTTGGCTGCTGGATTATTTTTTGCTGTTGGGCTGATCTTCCCAGATATTTTTGTTGTTGGGCTGGTCTTCCTACTGGGGTTTTGGTTGCTGGATTATTTTTTGTTGTTGGGTTGATCTTCCTACTGGGGCTGTAATTGTTGGGTCTGTTGGGCTAATATTCTAGCTGGGCCTTTGGTTGTTGGGTCTGTTTGACTTCTATTCTTGTTGGGGCTTTAAACTTCAGTTGGGCTTTGTGGTTTGGAATTGGTTCAGTTGATTTGATTGTTGTTATTTTTGGCTAGTGATAATTTTGGCTCTCATCAGTCAATTAGTTTAAAATTGACTAAAATTGCTAATCAATTGCAGAAGCTCCTTCAATAACCTAATACTCTCTCCATCTCACCTTCTATAGGTTCGTTCACTTCGGGTCCTTCAGGTATATCTCGAACTACCTGGGTCTTTGACTCAGGTACTATCCATCATATGACTAGTGATTCTTTCTTATTTGCATCTACCTTTTCTCCTCCATCTGTTTCTGTGGTTGCAGCTAATGATACACAAATGTCCTTGGCCGATGTTGGATCTATAATTTCTTTGCATCTAACACTTCCTAATGTTTATTATATTCCATAGCTTACCTTGAATTTAATTTCAGTTAGTCAGCTATTTGATTCTGAATTGTTAGTTTATTTTTCCTCTTTTGGTTGTATTGTACAAGATCCACATTCCAAGAAACTGATTGAGACTGGCAGAAGAAAGGGAGGATTGTATTTGTTAGACAAGTTACATATTCCTAATATTATTACTTCTACCATTGATTTATCTTCTTTTCGTTTGAGTCCACAGTCATATAGTTTCTATTTGTGGCATTCTCATCTTGGTCATGTGTCTCACTCTCGTTTGAAATTCTTAGCCTCTACTGATAAGTTGGGTAATTTAGAGTGTCATAATATTTTCAGTTATAGTAGATGCAAGTTAACTAAATTTACTTCATTAACTTTTAATAAAAGTTCTACTAACTCACTTGCACCTTTTAATCTAGTTCATTCTGATGTTTAAGGACCGGTGCCTCTTTCCACAAAAGGTGGGTCTAAATATTATGTCTCTTTTATTGATAATTATACTAGATTTTGCTGAGTTTATCTCATGAAACATCGTTCTGAGTTCTTTTTGTATTCACTGTTTTTCGTGCTATGATACGTACTCAATATTCATATGTTATTAAATGTTTTCGATGTGACCAAGAAAAAAAATATTCTTTCAATTCATTTTATGATCTATTAAAATCTGATGGCATTGTTTGGCAATCTTCTTATGCTGAGACACCTGAACAGAATGGTATAACAGAGCGCAAACACCGACATATTATGAAGCCAGCACACTCGCTCTTACTATCAGCAAATGCCTCAAGTTCTTTTTGGGGGAAAGTAGTTCTTACTGCGGTACATCTACTTAATTCCATTCCCACTGTCGTCATCTCTGGAATTTCTCCATTTGAAAAACTATGTGGTAAGCCACCTAATTATTTCTCTTTGTGTGTATTTAGATGCACCTGTTATATTTTGCTTCCTAATATCCTTCGTACTAAGCTCTCTGCTCATTCAGTTTTATGTGTTTTCATTGGTCATGGTGAGGACCAAAAGGGGTATTGTTGTTATGATCCTGTTTCACACAAACTCTGTCTCTCGTCATGTTAATTTCATAGAGCATATTCCCTTCTTTTCTATTCCATCCAGTTCTTCACATTTACATAAATCTGATGTTCCCTCTGACACTTATGTTGGTGAGATGATTGTTTCTGATGTACCCACCATCCATCCCCCTATTGTGCATACATATGTTCGCAGNCATTTACATTGACCCATTTCGGGCTGATGTTCCCTCTGACACTTATGTTGGTGAGATGATTGTTTCTGATGTACCCACCATCCATCCCCCTATTGTGCATACATATGTTCGCAGAAATCCAGTTATCTCCTCTACAGATGTGGTGCCTCCCCTTTCTTCTCCTGCCATCCAATCAGGTTTAGACAATATGGATCATACCCCGCGCTATCCTCAGCACTCACAAATGTCCAGACAAGTTTGGTTGGAGTAACACTTGTTATTTTCTTGACTTTTGTTCTTTCCTTATTTCTATTCACTCCTTATTTGAACCCCCTCCTACAAGGAGACTATACTTGATCTACTTTGAAAACAAACTATGGATGAGGAGTTGCTAGCCTTACATAAGACCAGAGCTTGGGAGCTAATGCCTTTACTACCTAATAAACGCACCATTGGTTGTAAGTGGGTTATAAAATAAAAACCAAGTCTGATAATTCTGTGAAATAATATAAAGCTCAATTAGTAGCCAAGGATTTTGATTAAGAGTATAGCCTAGACTATGATGAGACTTTTGCCCCTGTTGCAAAGATGACCACTATTCGCACCGTGATTGCAGTTGTTGCCATTCGCCAATGAAGTTTGTCTCACATAAATGTGAAAAATATATTTCTTCATAGAGATTTAAGTGAATAAGTTTTTATGACTCTTCCCGAATTGTCTCATAGTCCTAGTTAAGTATGTCGACTTCACCGCGCTTTATATGTCCCTAAACAGGCTCCTAAGGCATGCTTTGTCAAATTTTCTTCAGTTATCTGTGACTTAGATTTTTGCACTGATGACTATGATTCTTTTCTCTTTTTACGGTCTACTTCCTCAGGTTCTATTATTCTCTTACTATATGCTGATGATATGACTATTACGAGTGATGACACCGCTGGTATATGCTTATTGAAAACTCAGTTGCTGGACCATTCGAGATGAAAGATTTAGGATAGCTTAGGTATTTCTTGGGCATTGAGATTGTTTCCTCTCCTAAAGGCTATCTTCTCTCTCAATCCAAGTATGCTTCAGATATTATTCAACGAGCCCATTTATCAGATAATCGAACAATTGAAACACCTTTAGAGCTCAATGTTCGTTACTCTTCTTTTGATGGTACTCCTTTGTCTGATCCTACACTCTATCGTACTATTGTTGGGAGTTTAGTATATCTAACAGTTACTCGTCCAGATATCTCCTATTCTGTTCATGTTGTTAGTCAATTTTTTACCTCACCCACCACTGTTCATTGGGTTGCTGTACTTCGTATTCTTCGGTATCTTTGAGGTACTCTACATTAGAGTTTGTTATTCTCCTCCTCCTCCTCTACGGAACTCTTGGCTTATTCTGATGCTAATTGGGCTTGTGACTCTATAAACCGTAAATCTACTACTGGCTTTAGTCTTTTCTTCAGTGATTCTTTTATTTCTTAGAAAAGTAAAAAGCAAACAGTTGCTTCTCGTTCATCTACTGAAGCAGAATATCGTGTTATGGCGTCTACTATAGCTGAGATAGTTTGATTACGATGGCTTTTTGCTAATCTTAGCATCATATTACCTATGCCGACTCCTATGTATTGTGATAATACCAATGCAATTCAGATTGCTCATAACTCAGTCTTTCATGAGCGCACAAAATATATTGAGATTGATTGTCACTTTGTGTCTTATCATCTTCAACTGGGCACTCTCTCCCTCCCTTTTCTTTCTTCCACTTTGCAGTTAGCAAATTTTTTCACAAAGTCGCATACTATTACTCGCATTCGTTTTCTTCATGGCAAACTCTTAATGTTTTCTACTACCACATCATGAGTTTGAGGGAGGGTATTAGAGTAGTTAGCATATTTAGTCTTAAGGGTAGATTAGTCTTTTGTTTTCTTTTATGTTGCCCTACTATATAAGGGCGTCTTGTATGCATTTTTTTATTAAGCTGTTACATACTAATTTAGTGACAATAATATTCTCTTCTTCTTTCTTTTATTTCTCTCTTCTATTTTGATTATGTAATCGTTGTTTACAGACCATACCAGTCGTCATTGGGCTGCAGTCATCGAGTGCAGTACTCCGTTGTTCTCATCATCGAGGTTATAGTAAAATCATCGTGAGTGCTGCAGTGGTTCAATTATCCTTGCAGTTTGTGAATTTAAATGTTGTGATGCTCGCAGTCATTGATTGTTGCAATGATTGAACACAGTCGTCGCAGCCTGTGATTGCGGTGAGTGGATCGCAGTGTTGCGAAGTTCAATATGTGTTTCCAATCAAATATAGAAAGAAGAAGACATGATCCGGTTTTGATCTGGTCTACATTACAGTTCAGTTGAATTAGATTCTGGGTTCGTAGTTTAATTGAAGTACAGGTGGGGTCAATGAATAGGGTCATTTTAGATTGCGCCGGTAGTTTGATACAAGATTTGCTTCAGTTTTATTTCATCCCAAGTGTATTCAAGTTGGTTGGACCAATTTTGGTCTGGTTCAGCTTTTTGGGCCAATTCAATGCAATTTCAGCAGGTCAAGTCCTGTTCAAGTTCAGTTCGACATCAGATTTCTTCCAGACTTAGAGCAGTTGACTGTCCATTGGCTCAGTCCAGTCAATTTCAGCTGGTTCAGTAACTTTTCTTCATATTTTCATCAGCTCGGTGCTCCTCCAGTAACAGTTCAGTCTATGTTCCCTTGGTTCACTGTTTTTCTGGCTTAATGGAATGCAAGTCTAGTCCCTAAGCAGTCAGAATTTTCCTTGATTGCCCATAACCTCCATCAAGCTTTACAGAAGTAAATATGTCCCACGGTTCCTTTCAGGGGAAGTTTTTTGACAACCAAAAANCTATGTAATCGTTGTTGACAGACCATACCAGTCGTCATTGGGCTGCAGTCATCGAGTGCAGTACTCCGTTGTTCTCATCATCGAGGTTATAGTAAAATCATCGTGAGTGCTGCAGTGGTTCAATTATCCTTGCAGTTTGTGAATTTAAATGTTGTGATGCTCGCAGTCATTGATTGTTGCAATGATTGAACACAGTCGTCGCAGCCTGTGATTGCGGTGAGTGGATCGCAGTGTTGCGAAGTTCAATATGTGTTTCCAATCAAATATAGAAAGAAGAAGACATGATCCGGTTTTGATCTGGTCTACATTACAGTTCAGTTGAATTAGATTCTGGGTTCGTAGTTTAATTGAAGTACAGGTGGGGTCAATGAATAGGGTCATTTTAGATTGCGCCGGTAGTTTGATACAAGATTTGCTTCAGTTTTATTTCATCCCAAGTGTGTTCAAGTTGGTTGGACCAATTTTGGTCTGGTTCAGCTTTTTGGGCCAATTCAATGCAATTTCAGCAGGTCAAGTCCTGTTCAAGTTCAGTTCGACATCAGATTTCTTCCAGACTTAGAGCAGTTGACTGTCCATTGGCTCAGTCCAGTCAATTTCAGCTGGTTCAGTAACTTTTCTTCATATTTTCATCAGCTCGGTGCTCCTCCAGTAACAGTTCAGTCTATGTTCCCTTGGTTCACTGTTTTTCTGGCTTAATGGAATGCAAGTCTAGTCCCTAAGCAGTCAGAATTTTCCTTGATTGCCCATAACCTCCATCAAGCTTTACAGAAGTAAATATGTCCCACGGTTCCTTTCAGGGGAAGTTTTTTGACAACCAAAAATAAATTTCAATATCTGACTAAATATAAAACAAGAATCTGATGAGAAGTTTAAACTGTGAAAAGTAGACAATGCCCAAGCGATTGCTCTCCTATGAAACCTCAAACTAGTATTATTCCAATGCTCCAGAAACTGCTAAATCAACATAGATCGCTATTGATTTCGGGAGAAGATATCAAGATCTATTTAGTCGGGAGTAGGGAGGCAAAAGCATTGAAGAATACCCCCCCCCCTCTTTCTGCAAAGTATCATGAACAACCTTAATGCCCCTAAATATTAGGGTCAATAGATAGAGAGAAAATTATAGAGAACTGTATGAGAGGAGGAAAAAAAATTGTTGACTCTCTTTCTTTACTCTTAACTCATATTTTTCTGTATCACAATAAACAAAAAAACAAGACGTGCATACCCTTGAGTGGTATACTCACTACGATAATAGGAAGCATGAAGTCATTATCACTCCCCTCCAAACTGGAGTATATATATCATAAAAGAGCAATTTTTTGTCCGACGAGTAGACTCAATGCCTCATCGAACATATCTACAAACTAAATCCCCGAATTTCACAGATGGTGTAACCATGTCCCCGCTTGGTAACTTATCTCAAATCAAATCAACTTCAATATGTTTATCCCAAATCAAATCAACACTGATGAAAACAAGCCAAAATATCTCGAAACATTTCAAAACACCTCTAAGCATTGAAATTTCAATTCAATCACTGATTTATTTCAATCTCTTTGGAAACATAAACGTTTCAACCATTTCGAAACGAAATTTTGATCCTTGCATTTATGTCAATCTGAGTATAGCTACTATTTACCCTTGATAAAGGTGGAAATATTTACAACAGAGTGTCCCAAGACCTATTCACCCCCTCTAGGTAAGATATCATGTAACATTAGATAGTATAAACGGTTCTCCGTTGGTCAGAATTTGGTCTAAATGACATTAGGTGGGGTGTTTTTTGGGTGTGTAGGCGCCCTTTGTAAGAAAACTTATTCTCTTGAGTGTTGGGAACTATATGGCCTTTTTTGGGGGGTTTACCAGCAAGATTTGTATTCGTCTCTCCACGAAAACTTATGATTGGTATAGAGAGAAGCTAAAGTTATCAGCCATTCTACACGAGTTTCTGGGGAATTTGAAGAAGAAAGCTTAGGCGTGAGCTACAATTCCAAGACTAGGTAGGGTCTCTCGAGCATTTGAGGCTTGGATTTTAGGAGTCAACCACTTGAAACCTTCCGATACCCCTATCATTGTTATATGCAGCATGATACTGAAAGATGTTTTTTGGATCGGAACGGCGCCATAATAACGCTAGTACTGGATCTTTGAGCCACTGTTGAAGTTGGTTGTTACAAGGTGGAAAAGATTATCTTGCTGTTGTAATGATATTATAATCAGCATTAGTTACTCTAGTTATCACATTTATTAGCATCAAAGTGGCATCAGAGTTGTCCCATTTGCATCACTGAATAAAAGGGACTATAGATCAGGGGAAGGACATGTATCTGAGCCAGCTTTTTCCACTCTTCCTTTTATGAATTGTGCTATAAGAGAATAAGAAAAGAAGAAATAAACAACTGGTACTTGGTCTTAGCACCAAGAAATTGTGGACAAACATAAATTTCAAGTTCTAATGCTAATTGAAAGATGCTATATATAGGGAAACGGAAGTAATAAAGTGAAATAGTGAACATTGAATGCAAAGAGTCACCATTATGTGCGATAACAATTGCATCAAACTTCCCATGTGGTTTTCCATTCTCACTCAGGTGCCACATCCCATTAAAAGGCTCGAGTGTACTTATCCAGCAAGGCCGCACCACATTAACCATAGAAGCCTGCACAAGATGGAAAATTTCTGCTGAGCTAGGACAGGAAGAACATCAACACAGAGAATAAAACCAATCCAATTTGAATTAATAACAGAACAGTAAAAAGAATCTTCCAATTTAATCTGGAGGCTTGAATTAGAAGGGGGGGAAACTGGCTCGTGTCAACATTCATAGTCCATACCTTTTTTCTTTTTTTTTTTTGAGCAGTAAGAATACCTAGTTGAGTTCCTAATAAAGTTTGAGGCCAAATTTTCATTAAATATTGGCGCAGTATCGAAGTTCGAGATTTACAGTGTCTCTTTCTTTAACCCCCCCCCCCCCCCCCCGGCGGGG